ACCAAATAGCTTCGATTCTCATATCGATTGTTACCTTCGCTGATTTTAAAATTTATTAAATGGGCTCTCGATTATAGGAGCAAGTCGCTTTAAATTACAAAGTTTAACCCGCTGAATTACATGCGCGGTCACACTTAGCAAGCCAGGCGACGAATGCCAATCTAGTCTTCGCGCACTTACACGCCTTATCTTACATTACATTCTAAAAAGACATATTCTAACGATATAATATGGATTTTTATAATGTACAAGAAAGTCCTCTACATCTCAATCTGTATAAATAAAAATAATTTTTTAAAAATTGGAGAGTATTTTTGAATAGAGGGGGGTTCAGCCAAGGATACTCTGCCTGCCCAATCCACCATACATTTACAAATATCCATTCCCGAACCCGGATTCGAACCAGGGACCCTTAGTGCCGCAGTTGAGCCTGGGGTCACACGACAAAAACCCACTATGCGTCTCAGTGGTAGAGCTACATAGCCGGAAGTTGGGTGTTCGAACCTGGACTGAGGTAAGAATTTTTCATCTATGACAGACAGTTTTCCTAAGTTGTAAGGTAAATATCGGAGTAGTATAGAACAATTTAAGACCGTCTGGAGTGGCACCTCTAAAAAGCATTCTGTGGGACAGGCGCACGCCTGTTGAGAGCGAAAAACAAGAGAGGCATAATAAATAAATAAAAGTAGGACGCATCCCTACGACAGTTGACTAAATCCTGGGGGAGGCGGCGACGTATATGTTAAAGAATCAAGTATCAACAAATAAATAAATAAATAAAAGTAGTGCGAATTGTGACCTTTTATTCATTTTAATTATTGTGAATAACAGTATGAATAAAGTGGTACTATGAATATTTTATTAACCCTTTCGATTAATATATTACTAAGTAATAAAATACCCTGTTGTGTGTTGGGGTTCGGCACCTTCAACAAAACGGGTTTTCATTCTACAAAAAAGGGCATTCTTGGACTCAAGAAATTTGAATCTTGCAAAAAAAACCTTTATTGTGGAACAAATATTAATGTTTTCCAGTAGGTATATTTATCTTAGAACTATTAAAATTTGTTAAATTCAATATAAATGATTTTAGTCTAAAAAAACTCTAATTTGTCATTTAGTTTTCACAAAATGTCTTTGTTTACGTCAAATCCTTTTTAAGTAGGGTCGCTAGTATATAACCAGAACAAGCAAATTTGTGTGTGAGGTAAAAAAATACTTTTAAGAAATGCTTTTTATTCCTTCCAAGAATATTTAAATTTTAAACATTAATAATAGATTATTTAGATGTCTATCTGTGTTAGTTTTTAAATTGTTTTAATGTGTTTTGTGTTATATACAGTTTGTTTTATATGACTTGTCTTATATCTAAATCAATCAAATAAATAAACAAATTATTATTATTTATAATACCGACTGTTAAAGTATGTGATGCTGTGTCCGAAAATTTAAATGAATTATTTTTTTTTGTAAATGTGTTGTATATTAAATCGGTAAATCATGAGCGGTTTATATCTAAATCCCTTTTTCACAATTTTGTTACCTTTTCCCTCACAATTTAAATGTCCTCTCATTTAAATCTTACGCCATCTACGTATTTCCTTTGCAAACCCGTTGAGTTAAGATGTACCTTGCAGAGTTGGACTGGGTCACTGGGTCAACTGGGTCACCTGGGTCACTAAATTAAACTGGGTCACTGGGTCGCTGGGTCACGTCATACTCTTTTCAGTTAGACCCAGTGACCCAGTTTAACCCAGTGACCCAACTTGACCCAGTTTGACCCAGTGACCCAGCGACGCAATTTCACCCAGTCACCTAGTTTGATTGAATAACGCAGTTAAGTCAGTGCTCTCGGTTCAAGTGTACAGATTATGCAATAAATGAAATGCTGGTTTGTTGAAAATAATACTCGATTGCTTGACAACTGCCATTTCTGTGATGTTTGCTTTAATACTGCCGTAAAAAACTTTCCATGTCCCGAATTGTATTAGAATAATGTTATTTCTTTGCTTCAGGGCTTACCAGTTTGCTTACAGGTGTTCATTCACATTTAATTTTTTTCTACTAGTTAGCTTAATCCAAATAAATCTTTTCTCTAAATACTTTCATTGACTACTTGACTACAAACTATAAACAAATGCATTTGATTTTTTTAGGTATTAGTTCTCTTGAATGAAATTGGGCTACGTGCTTGTTGCCGAATATTATTGAGGAAGTTTTTTTTTTAAATTAAAAGTTACTTGAAATTGTTTTGGATGATACCTAACAATAATTTAATTACTGGGCTACCGGGTCAGGACGGGTCACTGAGTAAAGCTGGGTCAAGATGGGTCACTGGGTCAAGCTGGGTCACCGGGTCAAGCTGGTTCACCGGGTCAAACTGGGTCACCGGGTCAAGCTGGGTCACTGGGTCAAGCTGCGTCACCGGGTCAAGCTGGGTCACCGGGTCAAGCTGGGTCACTGGGTCAAGCTCGGTCACCGGGTCAAACTGGGTCACCGGGTCACTGGGTCACCGGGTCACTGGGTCAGTAAACTAACTGGGTCACTGGGTCACTCTATGCTTGACCCAGTCCAACTCTGGCTACCTTGTTCTTCGTTTCGCCGCCAGAGGGCGTGCAGATGATTTCCGTGATATTTCTAATTCGATCCCTTCTTTTGTTACGTTTGCTCAAAGTGAATGTAACAATTTTTTTTGCTTTTTCCAATTTCGGTCACGCTTTGAGATTTTCAAAATTTCGGCGAGGCCGAGTACGATAACGTTTTTGAGCGGATAATGGTCTTTATTAACGTGTATCATACAAGATTTTTTCCAACTCTCAAGAATGTTAAAAAAATGATTGCATTATTCACATAAATAGTAATAATTGCGGTAAATAAACAAATTTCAGTTAATAATTAATAAACGTTCCTTAAATACACAAGAAAATATACGCATTTTTCTTAAATTTAATTCAGGAGTAAATTGCACCAAAAGGCAATAATAAATAAAGATAATAAAATAGTACCTTATATTCATTGGCGTTCGTTGCTACGAAACGCTTTGTGTCAGGTGGTTGTGTGTCAGTCACGTTTAGTTTGGGTTCGAAGTATCTCAGTATTGCCCCGCTCTTTCCCATTAATCAATGTCACGTACTGATTTCGAAATCCGGAATACACAAGAGCCCACCAAATAGTTTCGATTTTCATATCGATTGTTACCTTCGCTGATTTTAAAATTTCATTTAATTAAAATTGATTAAATGGGCGCTCGATTATAGGAGCAAGTCGCTTTAAAACAGCGCAGGCGACGAATGCCAAATAGTCTCCGCGAGCTATATATTCGCGTACTTACACGCCTTATCTTACATTACATTCTAAAAATACATTCGCTAACGATACAATATGAATTTCCATAATGTACAAAAGTCTCCTCTACATCTATGTAAATAAAAACCATTCGTTTAATTTGGCCTTTATTTTTGAGTGGGCGGGGTGTCGGCCAAGGCTGCTCTACCAACCCAATTCACCATACATTTACCAAGTTCCATACCCAAACCCGGATCCGAACCAGGAACCCTTAGTACCGCAGTCGAGCTTTAAATCAACTGCGCCATACGATACGAGCCGGCTGAATGTTTGTTTGTTACAGTGAAAGTGTTAAATCAGGGGATGTATAGTACATTACCTATAGGCAGTATATACATTCGCTGATAAATTCTTCGGTTATTTACGATTATTTGTAGGTTAGAAAGCTGCCGAGTGGTTTGGAAATGAGTTGGAAAGTGACACCCAAAATATTAAAAACACCATTTGAAAGCTAAATTCAAATTGCTGTTAGAAATAAATAAATAAAAAACGAATGTGGACGAATAATGAGGGATAATGCAATAAAATCAGCTTGGATCTGACTGCAACAATTAATTTTTAGTAAAAGAGCGCTGGTCCATAACCTAATGTAATTAATAAGTTTTTAAATCCGAATTCGAAATTTTGTTTTTCTGAATGTCCATTTAAATACAAATAGCGCGAGAACATCAATATTTAAACCTAGTATAATGATCGAGTCTCGGGCCCTAAAATAAGTGTCGATACATTTCTGTATTCATAGAAAGATTCAGATCAAACGAAAGCTCTACGAAGATTCTTTCAAAACATCTCTTCATATCGCCTTGTCTCGTATGCATAAACAAACTAAAACATAGTGCGAGAAATATGTAACAGTAATAAATAACTACGGGCGTCGACGGGCCAAATTCCCATCAGACTGCATAAACCAGCGCCGGAGGTGCGTGTGGTTAATAAATTTAATTTCGGAAGTGGATTTAGCGACCCGCCACAAGCGGGAATAGTAAAAGGGACACGTGGATGCAAAGCGAAAAAAAAGTACATAAAGGGCGCATTAATTTCGAAACTAAAAATGAAAAACCCTCCATTTAATTAAAGCAGAGAAACGCAATTAATTAGGGATGTTTGTTGCAATATATAAATCATATGGTACTTCTCTTAGTTAAAAGGTGCTCGTGTATTTTTAAAAGTATATTTAAATATTTTAACTTCGTTTAAGTGGCGCAATTAATTTATCCTTTTAAACGGAGTTTTCTTAAGATGGAGTTTTTAAATGGAACGCTGCAATTGGGATAGGTCAAGTTGGGAGATGTTGAAGATGCGCCGAGCGTAATTTATTAACAAACTTTTAAAAATAACTAGCTAAAACTTTCAGTTTTTGCATAATGGAAATAACTTAGGAACTAACTTATACTTATAAATTTTCCCTTTTCAAAATAGTTTAGAATACATCACCATTAATTAAGTCGGGCTATTCAGAACTCACTTTTCATTTGGAATCATTCCCGGGACGCTTACTTAAAGCTATTCGTAAAGACAAGCCTACGTTTTAATTAACGACCTATAAACGCTGCTTTAGAATGCTTATCTTCTTTTATTAATCCATAAAAGAGGAAATATTTGCCAGTAGTTTTAATTCGGAATATCGGTTATGCAACTGCGAGGGGAAAACTTACCTCGACTGATTCCCGTATTTTTATCTCGGAGGACGTTGATAGAATGCACCCGGCCATACTCTTCAAATAATTGCTTTAGGTCGTTCTCGTCCATGGAATGGGGAACTTGACCCACGAACATTTTGATGTTGTCCGGATCGGGTTGGTCCTGTTCTGGATTCGAGCTCGGACTCGCATTCAGTATGTTATTTTTATTGTGTTTACTGCTGATGTTGTTGTTATTCATCGGTGAACTGAAACAAATTAATTTCAAATTAATACATCGGGTATCGGCACTCATCCAATTAGTCGATGTCAAAAGAAACGTAACGCGCCAGTTAAATAGTTTATAGTGCATTTGTATTCATAGATTTTCTGTGTGGCTTCTAGCCAAATCATTTAATGTTAATAACACCAACGTGAACTTCCCGCTTTACGTTTTGGTTTCGCTCTCTGCTCTATTATTACAAGTGACACATTCATGAAGATTTTATTATTTAAGAATGAACTTTTTACAACCTAAGCCCGACTCTTCCTACATTTTACACATTCGGCCGAAATTGCCAGTGACAAGCTGCTGGAAGGAGAGATATGCAATTACGTTGCTCAAGTTTTATAGAGATTCGGCTGCAGATATATAAAATTCTCAAAAAAAAGCGTATCGGCTTAATGAAAATTATATAAACTAACTGCCAATTCTTAGAATATCATGCTAACGCCGTTAACGGTTATAAAAAGGGCGAAGAGTATACAGGGTAGTCGAAGTATAGGCTTCATAAATTCCAAATTTTAGTAAATTTAGAAGTCATAGTTTACATTTTAAGTTTAACGATCACTTTCTGGGTATTTAATAGCGTGTTGACCTCATAATGAGTTCCGGAATCTTAATTAGTAGTAAGCGTTAATTATTTCACAAGATAGGTAGGGATCAGACAGAGAGTTTTGGGGGAATTCGGTTTTGGACCACGGGAGCGTTATCCGTAATGCTCTAAGCATATACGTTTTTTTAGAGATTTCGGTCGAAAACTATCAAAGGGGTAGTTCCGTCGTGGCGCCACTTTAATTTGTTCCTGGAACCCCCGTAAGGGATGGTTGGCTACGCAAATGCAGATTGCTAATAACTGGACCATATTTATCGACTTTACTAAGCTCCATAGTTGAAAAAACACGTTTAGAATATTTGGGGTGGACCGCTGTAGCACAGGTAAGCTTATATAAGTAGGGGCTGCCTACTCATTCAGGCGCTAACTAGCCAATTTCTAGAATTGCTTGATTTTTTTCAATGTTTTAACGATAAATTAGGCACAAAGACAAGTAATTAAGTGACATAAAGTTTTTATGTCACTAGGGGTATAATCTGAGCCTACTCATATGCGCTTACCTGTATCCCAGTGGTGGACGTAAAATTTAAAACCGCGAGTTCCGTCAATTGCTGCAAAAATACGGATTACCGCGAAAAATTCAAAGCAAGTGACAAATAATTTATAACGAACAAAAAATTTCCGTCGCATCAAGTGAAATAGTATACGGCAAGGACGATCTAAGCATAACGATATTTTTCTAGCATAAAGAACCATTGTTATAACTGCTGTGCAAACGCTTAATGGCATGAACATTTTAATTTTCGTATCAGAACAAACCAATAAGGAAACTTTAAATGCTACGTAAATTTTAACTATTTCAGAAACTTATTATAATTAGAGTGATTAGATACAACAAAATCGAACCAGAAAAACAAAATATTTCATGCAGAATTAATTTCAGAAAGCCTCCAATTTATTGGGTTCGATCATAATTACCATACCAATAAGAAAAAGTGCAAATTATTACTTAGGAAAGTTCCTCATACTTTTAATAATATAATAAAGTGTGTCCCGAGGTGTGTCCAATTTAATTAACCCTAAACGGTTGTATTAATTGAAATTGTGATTTGCTCCCAACTTTTAAATGCAAGAATATGCCAGAAAAACACTACGTTCTGAGAAATTTTACACGGCATGAGAATTCGATGTGGAAGTTTTTTTATAAAAAGTAAGATTGAGAGCCAGAATCCTTACGAAAGTAAAATCTTTGTAAATCATATTTGTTGTAGTAATTTATGATAAAAGCCGTTTTGTATTGCGTATATTTTTGCCATTTTAGAAACTCATTAATAATTGGAGTGGTTAGATATTGAAAATCAGTTCCTCGTTAAAAAAATTATTTCATTCAGAATAAATTGCAAAAAAAACTTCAATTTAGGGGGTTCGAATGGTATTTTAGAAGAACGGTGTGTATCAAATGTGTTATATTCGAGGCTGTATTGGTATTTATGGTCAATATTAAGTTCAAATTAGTTCAAACAAGAGTGGCCATTGTTTAATTTCGTAGAAAAAGAAATCTGCAAAGGACAATGTAAATTGCAATTAATATATTCAAAAGGTTGCGTTTGAATCTCCAAGCAAATTAGTTGTTTAGTATATAAGGCGATAAAGGGATATTTTAACCATCTAGTGAAAGATGTTAAATAACTTTCACGGGATGGTTAGTTTTCGTCTATTGTCGTGTATAATACAAAGCTTTATTTTATAACAGAAGCCATATAAATCATTGTAAAGCTTTTCACAATTCTGAATTTAATTTAGATGGCATTTTATATCGTGCTCCGCGTCCCATTTGAAATAAGAATGCATAATCATCTGTTTCACTTTATCTATACCCTTGCGGTTAAAGTGATCACTTTATCTACCCTCACGGTTAAAGAGCGACTTAACCTACTCATTCAAACCTACTAAAAAGCGAATTTAACATCTATAAAATAAACAAAACTTTTGAAGTTAAATTTCAGGAGACTAGAAGGGAAATTTTCAATAAATTAATTGTAGTAAAATTTCAGATCGAGCTAGCCGAAGGTCATATAATTTTACTGAAGAATTTCGATTCGAAACAAAAAAAACCCCTTCACATGCCAAAAGCCCATTGCAACAAATTGACTCGACGTCTTTAAACCGCGTGCGAACAACGCTTTTTCTACACCAATGGAAGTTGTTTCCAACAATTTATTGACCGCTCAATTTTTTCTTCGCGCACATAAATTAATCTTGCTTCCGTGGCTCCATGGCGTGTACAAAAACAATAATTTCACCGTAATCCTGCGGGACTTCTTACGAATTTATGTTCATAGATAGAAAAAAAATGACTTCGAACCGCGTACCTAAAAATTTTTGAGTGTTTTACGTAAATATCCACGATGTAAATTGCGGTTGTGTGTTATACGAAGATAGATACAATCGGTAAATTGTGTCTATACGTTTGCGTGCAATCAAAAACCTTTTTACCGAGTCGTGAGCCCTAAAAGCTGCGAGAGACAATATATAAAGGGAGATTAAATTTTTATTGATCCGGCGTGTATTGTATCAATGTGTCTCAATTCTCTCTCTATTCATATACCTCCAGCTACAGTGTTTTATTTCGTTAGTGCCCTTTTTGCTTTGTTCATATACAATTAGCTGAAAAGCTCACAAAGAAAAGAAGCCTGGCTAAAATATTTGAATTATAGCGGTTTCACTGTCCTTTTATTACTTTATTACTCCGAAACGCGCAATTTTAAACAAAGTTTTAAGATGGCCGTCATAAAAAGCAGAAAAATTATGGGCTAGGGGCGGGAGACATTAACCCTTCCTATGCTCAAATCCCGCGCCGTTAGTGTCTCCTAAGTGACACAAACGGGCACCCAATCTAGATTTCAGCGAAATTAATTGAAAAATGCGATCTTGAATAAACAATCCGCGACGTTACATTTGTAAACGCGATTGGGTACATAAATTAAGAGTGGCAACGAATTTGTTTGAAATCTACACGACTATGCGACGGCAATTAAACATGGTAGAGAGTAATTTAGCGGCACTTGTCAAACTGCCAAAGCCAAATGTAAAATATTTTGGTTTTTTAATGAAAGTCGTAAAGCACTAACACAGTAAATCATAAAAACGAATTATTTTAAAAGAATTTTCTTAAAAGCGAAGGTAGGTTAAAAGTCGCTACATAAAGTAATATATGAATAATTATTAAATTTGTTAATAGGATCCGTTTAAAAAAGCTGCTTTTAAACTTAACTAAAAGGTAGGTAATTAATTATTAACGGATGCAAGTTTTTTTATGAACATGTTGACGTTTTGTAAATCACTACTGTAGAAGGGAGCTTTTTTGCCACTAAATTACATGTGTGCTCAGTCACTCTGTATTTCCAGTTAAGAAACCTTTGGATACTACTACTGGCCCCTTGCCATACTTGATCCATTCGGTTATAAAAAAAATTATCTCTTCATAGCGCATTAATAACCTGTCGACGTCTTACTAAAAATACACTTTCGTTGTATTCTATCTTAACTCATTCTAGAGCTTGTAAAAACTAAAATCTTTAAGTTATTGCGAACATCAAAAATGTGTTAAAAGGTGAAAACAATAGCAAGCTTTTGTTTGTACCCAATAAACCGTCTAGCTCTATAAGGGCAACTTTCCAAACAGTTTCGTCTGTTACTAATGCGAGAAGAAAATCCGTTAATCGCTTAGTAACGAAACTAACATATTCTTTTAACGGATTAACTTTTCACTTAACGACAAAATTTATTAACTTATTTCGTAAAGGAGAACGAGACGTCTCGCATTTTCATTAATTAGATTTCCCAATGAGAATAAAAGTTTCTTTCTTCATTAATCGAACTCACTATTAGTATTGGATTGTATTGTGTGTTGTTGCTTTACTTTTATAAGGAAAATTGATTTTAAAGTAAATAATATAACATCCATCAGGTAATGGTATAAATAAATAAATCAAAGGGAAATATAAAAAGGAGAACGAATTTTAAGCAAATCAAGCTGTAACAAAATGCGAAGGATCGCATACGATTTTCATTAGGGGAATTTTTTGCCACATTCAGCTCGCATTCAGAAACCGGCCTTTTCATTCGGCTCATATTCAATAGCACTGATCCTTGAACTCGTAGAAAATAATCGATGAAGGTTTAACATTGTCCCTTATCGTCTCTTTTCGTTCTCGAGTTAGACGAGGAACAGACGGACAAAACCATTACAAAAGGGGATTTTTTTTCTTTCGAAAAATTCCCCCAAAAATTTACCACCCGCACGTTAGTAAAAAATGACGCCTCACTTTTTTGACGTTTGAAAGCACCAGGAACCCGAGCCAAACAAAATCTCAATGATCGGTCTGTCGGCTTGTCTGTCTGCACATTTATTTCCAGCTAAACGTCTTAAC